ATTGCCCTTTCCGTTCTCCATCTTCGAGGAATTTCCCCGTAACGCCTTGCTAAGCAGTTCTTTTTTTTATTCTTTCTTCTCCTTTCTCCTTTCTCCTTCTTTCATTCTACCTTTCGCGTTTTTTTCGTCTTTACTTCTTTATCATCCAAATTCTTCAGCTTATTATTCTATGTCTCTTACATCTCCTTCTCCTTCTTCTTCTCCTTTTTTTCCCTCTAAACAAACTAAAAGTAGCAGCAACGAAGAGGAGAAAGAGAGGAACAAAAGAAAGTAGAAAAAAAACGACATAGAAAACAGAAGAAAAGGAAAAGAAAAAAATCCTAAAGAAAAATCATAAGAAAAACAAAAGACGTCACGAAATCTGATTAAGCAAAAAAAAAAAAAAAAAAAAGAAAGAAAAAAAGAAAAAGAAAAAGAAAAAGAAAAAGAAAAAGAAATCCTAGCCAATGAAAATAAAAACACGTCACGATATTTGATAAACAGAAGCTGTAGTTACCAAAAAAAAAAAAAAAAAAAAAAAAAAAAAAAAAAAAAAAAAAGGGAAGAAAAAAAAGAAAAAAAAGGAAAAAAATAGACGAAACATCACGATGCTCTGAACATGCAGTTCGCTGACCAGACCTACGACAGCATTCACTTTTTTTCCCTTTTCTTTCTTTCTCATTTTTTCCCTTTTGTCTTTGTTTTTCCTTGCACGTCCATCTTTTTTTTTCTTTTTGTTTTTCCTTCCTTTTGTTTTGTTTTGTTTAATGGCATTAGCTTGAGGGACGTGAGGTCGAGAGTCTCTCTCTCATTCTCTCTCTCTCTCTCTCTCTCTCTCTCTCTCATCTCTCTCTCTTCTCTCTCTCTCTCTCTTTCTCTCTCTCTCTCTCTCTCTCTCTAAATTAGGAGTTGGTTTACAGATAATTTCTTCACAGTTTTATTATTATTATTATTACTATTATTGTTATTCGTATATATATAATTTTTTTTGAGTGAAATTCGAAGTGAGTTGTAATTAATTAAAAGAAAAGAAAAGAGAAAAAAATAGAGACTTCAGAGAAAATTAATTGGACTAACAAGAGAAGTCAGCTTGAGTGAAATTAAAAAATGAAAATAAAAAAATGAAATAATGATAAATAAATCGTTGAAATTGGAAAATCAAAGACATGGACGAAGAGGAGAGAGGGGAGGAGGAGAGAGAAGAAGAAGAAGACGGAGAAGAAAGAGAAAGAGGATAAGATGAAGGTAGTAGATGAGGAAGGAGAGAGAGAGGAAGGAGAATAAGAGAAGGGAATAGAGGCAAAGAAATAGCATGAAGAAGAAGAGGAAGTGGAGCGAAAGGAGGAAAAGAAAAGAAAAAGAAAAAAAAGACAGAATGATAATAATAATGACAAAAAAATCTAAAAAAAAAAAAAAAAAATCACAAAACGAAAAAAGATTCAAGTAAATCAAGTAAAACAACAACAAACAACAACACAAAGATCTTGAAGAAGCCCCTTGAGCCCCTTAAGACAGCCTCCGCGGCGAGTGATCGATCGAACCACTTTGTATGGGCGGAAAATGACGTCATCGTCTTCCCTGTCTATTCGGTGAAGACTTTTTTTTCTTCCTCCTTCTTCATCTCCTTCTTTTGTCTCCGTTAACCGCGTGTGAAGACTAGGGAATGAGAGGACTTATGAGGTAATTTGTTTTTCTTTTTTTCTTTCTTTTCTCTCTCTCTCTCTCTCTCTCTCTCTCTCTCTCTCTCTCTCTCTCTTTTCTATCTATTCTATCTGTTACCTATCTATCTATTTATCTATCTGTTCATATATCTATCTATCTCTAATCGATCAGAAAAGAGTATAGACAAGGATAGCAAAATGGAAAATAAAAGATAATGAACAATAAAATATAATAAAATAAATGGGATAAAGATAGGAATAGGGATAATACAACAAAAAAGGGGAATATCCTGAACGCGAAGAAAACGATGATGGAACGAGAATGGAAGGGTGGGGGGGGGGGGGGCGAGGGTGAGGGAAGATGGGAGAAAGGGGAGAAGGGAGGGGGAGGGAGGGTAGGTGTCAATGACATTTAAAACGAGAATATGGTTGTGCCTAGAGCTGGTGACTTGACATTCTCCTATGACATTTTCGTCGTGATTGTCTTTATTTCGGGTGATTTAGAACCGAAGAAGAAGGAGGAGGAGCAAGGAAGACGAAGGAGAAACTTAAATCTTCCTTATTGTTTTTTTTTGTGTGTCTTAGTTCCATCTATCCAAGGAGGTAATGCCGGACTGAAGTAGGCTTTTTTTTTTTATTTTTTCTTGTCTTTCTTTAATATATTTCTTGGTTTTTAGTCCTTCTTTCTTTCTTTTTCTCTTTCTCGCTTTCTTTCTCTCTCTCTCTCTCCTTCCTTCTTCTCTCTTCCTCCCTCTCTCTCTCTCTTTCTCTCTTCTCTCTCTTTCACTCCTCTCCCTCTCTACTATCTCCTTCCTCTCTCCCTCCCTCCATCCATCTCTCCCTCCCTTCCCCTCTCTCTCTCTATCTCTTCCTTCCTATCTCTCTCTCTCCCCCATTTATTCTACCTTTCCTTTCTCCTTAAAAATGGCGGCGTCTCGTTCGACTCTCGACGACAGGAAGTTCGATCCGGGTTTCCCTCCCTTCGACATCGACCTCTGACCTCTGACCTCGCATCCCTCGTCTCGTGACCTCGACCGTGTCCCTGCGTCTGCGTGTGCGTCTTCGCCTCTGTGTCTCTGTTGTTGTTTGAGCTGTGGATTGTGGGGAGGGGAGGGGAGGGGGAGAGGGAAGGAGTAGGAGGAGGAGGAGGAGATAAAGAGAGGAGGAGGAGAGGAGGAGAGGAAGATGGGAAGATGGATGGGGAGGGAAGGAGGAAAAGGAGAGGAGAGAGAGGTGGAGGTATAAAGACGAAGGCATAACGGTGGGAGGAAGGAGAGGAAGGAGGGAGGAGGAGAAGGGAAGGAGAAGGAGGAGAGGAGAAGGAGAAGGAGAAGGAGAAGAGAAGAGAAGAAGAGAAGAAAGAAGAAGAAGAAGTAGGAGGAGGAGGAAGAAGAAGAAGAAAGAAGAAGAAGAAGAAAGAAGAAGAAGAGGAGGAGGAGGAGGAGAGAGGGGGGAGGGTGGAGGCAGAGGCGTGCGGACGGCGGTGTCCATGTCGGGTCGTGAGTCCGGCCATGGTCCAGCACCGCGAGACGTGACGGTCGTTCCACACCTGCTGATCGACAAACATCGGCCTCGACCCGCCCTTGTTACCTCTCCTCTCCCCCTCTCCCCCTCTCTCTCTCTCTCTCTCTTTCTCTTCATCCCCCTCCTCTGTCTCTCCTCTTCTCTCCTCTTCCTCCCCTCCCCTACCCCTTAGTCTTCCCTCCTCCTTTCCCCTGTCTCTCCCCTCTCCGCTTCCCCGTCTCTCTTCTCTCTCTCGCGTACCTTTACACCCTTCTACCCCCCTCCCCCCCCCCCCCCCCCGCCCCCAGCTTCCGCTACTGCCGACGGCCTCTCCGCCCCGTGGCCTTTGCCTCGACGCCGCTGGCACGGTCGGCCTCGTCTCGCCGCGGAGGCCGTGGCGGTCGCTTGGAGGAATCTGCGTTGGGCCGCGGTCATTGCGTGCGGTTGAGAGACGGTCGAATGCTGAAGGCTAATTTCTGAAGGTTGTATGCTGAAGTTGTATGCTGAGGGCTGAATGCTGAACGGTGTATACTAAATTCTGTATGTTGTATGTTATAAATTTGAATGCTGAAGGTTGTATGTTATAAACTTGAACGCTGAAGGCTGAAACGCTCAGTGCTGAATGCTGAAGGCTGACTCTTCTACCACGTTCTCTCTCCCAAAGAAAAAGAAGAAAAAGAAAAAAGAGGCGTGATTGCAACGTGAATCACGCCTTCTCAACGTGTTATTTCGCCCGGGTTTTGCAAGCCAGGCGCGCGGAAAGAGTTGCAATGTCGCTCTTCTGTTGCATGACCAGCCCCGAGGTAAACGCCGTTGTGTCTGGAAATTGCTCCTTAACGGGGAAGGGCTGGATCAGTAGCAATTCGAGGAGGTGTCTGTTTTGGTGATCGTTCAATGAAAGTATAACCGTTAATATCATTATTTTCCATCCTTTTTTTTTGAAAACTGGAAAGACCAAAATGATCGACCATATTCACGAAGCATCCGTAACGTTTATGACGTCATCAAAATAAACCCCATGTGCATTTTTTTTCCAAATATAAAATCAGAGGCCATGACACCTCCTCGGGTTGCTACTGATCTCGCCTTTCCCCATTTCGTGGCACTATCTGCCTCGTCACGGCTGCAGACAGGCCATCCCGATCTGCCTTCGTCGCGTAAATAATATACCGCGAACATACGCACACACACGCAGGCAAATACGCACACGAGACGAGCGAACCGACGCACACACGCGCAGGCACAGACGCACACGCTCGGACGGAGAGCAAACAAAAGCACTGCTAGAATCTTCATCCCACGATCACGTAAGAATACCTACGGACACACACACACAAGCACGCGCACACATACATACGTAAACATAAACACACGCACGTATACAAGCACATGCGCATATATACGCATCCACGCACACCCACACACACAAGCACACACACACACGCGCGCACATATACACGTCCATACACACACACACACAAGCACACACATACACACGCGCACATATACACGTCCAAATACACACACACGCACACACACACACACATACACACACACACACACGTACGCACACCCCAAGTCACCCTCCCACCACCGTTACTCGAACACATCAGCTGATTAATAGAACGTGCTAATTGCACCAGAAGGAAAGACGCATAAATATCATTTGACATCCATTACCTTGGCGTCTCTCTCAAGGGGTTACGTTTTCTCAGAAAAGTATGGCTTGGGAGGAGGTCCTGTGCAAGAAGTGTGAGCAGGAGTGTGACTTACATGTTCGCTAAGGCTGCAAGGAAGTGGGGGGGGGGGTAGAGAGGTAGATGAGGGGAGGGGGGAGAGGGAGGGATGGAGGGTGAAGAGGTAGATGAGGGAGAGGGAGAGAGAAGGGAGGGAATGGAGGGATGGAGATGAGAGGTAGATGAGGGGAGAGAGAAGGGAGGGAGGGGATGGAGGGAGATATGAAGAGGTAGATGAGGGGAGTGGGGGGGAGAGGGAGGGAGGATATGATGAGGTAGATGAGGGGGAGGGGGAGAGGGAGGAGAAGGGATGGGGGGAAGAGGTAGATGAGGAAGAGAGGGAAGAAGGGACGGGAAGGAGGAAAGAAGGGAAAGAGGGGGGAGAGGGGAGGTGAAGGAGAGAGGTAAAGAGGGATGGAAGGAGTAAAGACAGATAAGAGAGGCGAAAGGATAGGTGAGGAAGAGAGGTAAGGACGGATAGTAAGGAGGAAGAGAGGGGAAAGGGGAGGTAGGGAGGCAGAGAGAGGGAGGGAGGAGGGGGGTGGAGGAGGGGAGGGGGTAATGTATGTCAGGTTACGCAGGTGATTCTGGAGTTGGCGCTCGCATGCACACGTGAGAATACCGCTTCGTGTACGTGTCTGTGTGCGTGCGTGTGCGTATGTGTGTGTGTGTGTGTGTGTGTGTGTGTGTGTGTGTGTGTGTGTGTGTGTGTGTGTGTGTGTGTGTGTGTGTGTGTGTGTGTGTGTGTATGTGTGTGTGTTGTGTTTGAAGAGATAGACAGATAGATGGAAAGATAGATAGACATGTATATAGATAGATGGATAAAGAGAAACAAGCAGGCAGATAAATAGACATACAGACTAAGATATTGCACAAACCTTCACATCCCCACATTGATATTACAACAGAAAGAAAACAGAAAGAAAAGAGAAAAACAGAGAGAGAAAAACCTGAATACGGTCGAGACCCCCCCCCCCCCCCGAGACGAAGGAAACTAAGCGACCAGATCGACAATTTATGACAGAAATAGATTATTCTCTTATCGTAATTTCACACTCAGGCGTTACAGCTGTGTGTGCCTCACCCGTGACACTCATGGCAGAGCTCGTGGGCGTGTAGTGGGCGTGTGGGCGGGTATAGGCGTAGAAGGAATACAGTGAGCATAAGAATAGATCTTTTATCTTATAAAACCAAGACATAATTTCTTCCAAGACTTTAGAATAAGAAAGATGGAGTTTTGAATCATTGATAGAACTCCTTTCCATTACTTAATCTATCTACCTCTCTATCTATATCTATCCATATCTATCTGTCTATCCATCCAGATCTATTTAGCACTGATAGAACTCACTTCCTTTATGATATCTATCCACCTCTCTAACTATATCTATCCATATCTATCTGTCTATCCATCCACAGCTATGTACCTTTTATTTACATGTTACTTTCTCTTAATTCACGGTCTTTTTCTGAAGCTTTTTGAGGTCATTTCAGCGCGTGTCCGACATCGCTGAGAGAACAATGGGCGTCTTAAGGAAGTCTGCAACTTCTTGATCCGGAAATAAATTTTCTTCATAACGATGTCAAGGAAGATGCGGTAGATAGGCGAAAGGAGAGAGGAGAGAGAGAAAGAGAAGAGAGAGAGAGAGAGAGAGAGAGAGAGAGAGAGAGAGAGAGAGAGAGAGAGAGAGAGAGAGAGAGAGAGAGACAGAGAGAGAGAGAGAGAAGAGAGAGAGAGAGAGAGAGAGAGAGAGAGAGAAGAGAGAGAGAAGAGAGAGAAGAGAGAAGAGAAGAGAGAGAGAAAGAGAGAGAAGAGCCAGACAGAAAGAGAAAGCAAAGAGACAGGTAAGCAGAAATGGAATTAAAGACAGAAAGATAATTAACGAAACAGAAAGAAACCGCCAGAGGAAAATAATTAAAAATAATAATGACACAATTAACTGTACTTGACATATTCTTCTTTAAGCGAGGTAGCGTTAACAGCCTCATCAGATATGTTTGAGTGATTTCCTCAAGAATGCGTGAGTGAGAGTAAATGAGTGAGTGAGGGAGTGTGAATGAGTGTTGAATGATGGGGTGGTGAGTGAGTGAGTGAGTGTGAATGAGTGAGTGAGTGTGAAGTGGGTGTGAGTGAGTGAGTGAGTGAAGAGTGACTGAGTGAATATGTGTGAGAATAAGGTTGTGTGTGCATGAGTAAGCGAGGGAGGGGATGGGTGAATGAGTGAGTTACTGAGTGACTAACTGAACAAGTGAATAAGTGAATGGGTGAGTGAACAGGTGAGTGTGTGCGCGCGTGCGTGAGGGCCTTAACGAGTGAACCAGCGAATGAGTGAATGAGTAAGTGACTCACCTAGAGCAGCGATTAGCACACTTGCGGCGGACTGTCACAATCACTAATTCACTTAATTCTGGTCACTTGTCAATTATGTCATTTGTATTTTTTTCTTCGTTTTTTTTCTCTATTGTTTAGTGATAACTGGAGTGGAAAATGACTTGCATTCCTCAACGAACGTGTGTGCATCACCTTTTTTTCTCTCTTCCTACTGATAATGACAATGAAAAAAGAAAAGAATGCGTACCGTTCGCGTAACGCATCTGGATACATATCCGGATTCGAAGAAAAGAGAAAAGACAAGAATACCTTAAAAAAACGTTCGCATAACCCACCTAAAACACACACACACCTACTCTAACCCGAAAAAAAAACACAAAACCACCAAACAATAAAACAAAAACAATCTAAACAACCTCTTCCCTCCTTTTTTAAGAAAACAACAGAACCACCGAACCAGCCATAAACAACCTCGTTCGCGCAACTCACCTGGATACATATCCGCATTGGACGAGAAGAGAACGCACAGCCCGGTCTCATAGTTGACGGCCATGCAGGAGCGGTTCTTCCTGCACATGTCGATGCAGTCAGTCAACATGAGCGTCCCCGGTTGCGAGTCGAGCATGTCGGCGGGCGCTGAGTACACGTAGCCGGTTACCAGTTCAAAGGACACCTTGGGAGGCAAGAGAAGAGGTTTCGAAAATGGATCTTGAGGTTTGAAAATGGTTATTTTATTGAAAGGAGGTCTATGAGGTTTTGAAAATGGTTTATTTTATTGAAAGGAAGTATGAGGGAGGGAGGAGAGGAGGGCTTGAGGTTTTGAAAATGGTTTATTTTGTTGAAAGGAGGTCTATGAGGTTTTCAAAATGGTTTATTTTATTGAAAGGAGGTCTTTGAGTTATTAAAAAAAAGATTATTTTAGTTTTTGGAGATCTGGAGAAAGAAGAAATATATCAATATATCATTCAGTTCATCTATCAGTCTATCTCTGTCTCCATCGATCTACCTCCCTCTCTATCAATCCAATATATACACCTCTCAAAAAGAAAGAAAGAAAGAAAGAAACATATAGATCTCGAGAAATAGCTTCGACGCCCACCTTGTCTGGAGGGCATCCCGTGAGTTGGGCGTCAGTGGATTCGAAGTCGATGTCGAACACGGGCGGGAGTCCCGTGGGCGGCTGCTCGGTCTCCTGGGCGAGGGCGGAGCCGCAGAGCACCAGCAGGAGGCTCAGGTAAGGGGCGACACGGAAGGGCAACATCTTGATGATAACGAACATACACAG